TGTAGTCTCTAAACTTAACCTTTTTATCACCTACCAAACACTTGTTTGAAGAGAAAGAAATCAAGATAGACTAGACTGGCAAGAAAATCTCCATCACTAAGAAGATAATTTCAACTGTTTGAGAAATTCCTACCTATGTCAGAAGTCTGGCAGAATAAGATTTTGCTGTGCTTATTCCTGTATATTGACTACAAGGCAATACAATGAAAATACAGTGTTAAAGTGATAACCAAAGTATAAGAAAAGCAAGAAGTATTTTTAGACTCTTCATCTTTTTTAATAAGAAAAATCAAGGGAACACAAATGAAAACATCTAGTAAGAACAAATGCCCGTAGCACTTGTCATCTGCAATCAGAAGAACTAAAATTCTTAGACAAAATATAACATCTGGAATATTGACTTTAATGGCAGTAGGAAGCATCAAAATGTACTTCAAAATGCACACCTCTAAAGAGAAAACGACAAAGGAATATAAATTACTATATGTATAGTATTCGTTACATTTATCCTTACAGTCACATTCCTAAATTTTTCCAAGAAAAGATTAATCAAACATCTACATATGGATAATCAAGGAATGAAGTTTCCGGCAAGTTTCTAGCAAGCTTTTGTTTCCAGTTAATGACTGTCTACAATGTGGTCCTATTTAGAGTCAAATATGAATCTTAAAATTAACTCATTCTAATAGTGTCTTGAAGAATAGCTCAGCATTCACTTAGGAGCACAGCTGCTGAGGCATTCAGATTTGGATTCAAATCCTTGCTCTGCAACTCACTGTGTGACTTCAGGCAAGTTACTTAAATTTCTCTAAGCCTATTTCCTCAATAATAAAATGGAGATAATATTTACCTCATAAGCTTTTTGAGAGGATGAATTAGCATATGTTGTATGTGTGTTTTATTGTAGTTAAATATACTTAATGTAAAACTTACCATTTTAACTATTTTTAAGTGTACAGTTCTGTGGCATTAAATGCATTCACAGCACCAGCAACTTGTGCAACCAGCACCAAGGATATGTTTTTGTTTTTATTTTATTTTATTTATTTTATTTTTATTTTTTTTGCAGTACGCGGGCCTCTCACTGTTGTGGCCTCTCCCGCTGCGGAGCACAGGCTCCAGACGCACAGGCCCCGGACACGCAGGCTCAGCCGCCATGGCTCACGGGCCTAGCCGCTCCGCGGCATGTGGGATCTTCCCGGCCCGGGGCACGAACCCACGTCCCCTGCATCGACAGGTGGACTCTCAACCACTGCGCCACCAAGGAAGCCCTGTTTTTATTTTTATTTTTTAGGTAAGAAGCAGATTTACTTAGAAACACACTCCAGAGTGTGGGTCATCTCAGAAGGTGAGAAAGGCCAAGGATATGGGTTTTAAAAAAAATAAATTTATTTATCGTATTTATTTATTTTTGGCTGCGTTGGGTCTTTGTTGCTGTGTGCGGGCTTTCTCTAGTTGTGGTGAGCGGGGGCTACTCTTTGTTGCGGTGTGCGGGCTTCTCATTGCGGTGGCTTCTCTTGTTGCAGAGCATGGGCACTAGGCGTGTGGGCTCAGTAGTTGTGGCTAACAGGCTCTAGAGCGCAGCCTCAGTAGTTGCAGCGCACGGGCTTAGGTGCTCCACGGCATGTGGGATCTTCCTGGACCATGGCTCGAACCCGTGTCCCCTGCATTGGCAGGCAGATTCTTAACCACTGAGCCACCAGGGAAGCCCCAAGGATATGTTTTTAAAGTGCTCAAGATTGAGCACACAGGTATTGCTTGGTGAACGGCAGCTAAAATGACTCAGTGCTATCTCATCACATCTTGAATCTGTGCAATTTATTTTATCTCTATTTCATATTTATTTCTACTGAATTGCTCCCAATCTGGAAAATACTAATATCAATTTTTAAGCTGTAAACTGTATTACTTACTTTCAAATTCTTCATCCAGGTAAATAAATACATAAAAATATTAAGAGCTAATACTTATTGAGCACTTAGTATGTGCCTGGTGCTATTCTAAGCACTTAACAGGTATTAACTCATTTAATCCACACTAATAATTCTAGGCGGTATATACTAATAACTGTCACATTTTACATGTGAATACAAAGAGGTTAAGGAACCTGGCCAAAGTCACCCAGCTAATTGGCTGACAAAGCCAGGATCTGCACTCAAACCAAGTTCTAGAGACCACGCTCTTAGTTATTCCACTATCCTGCTTCTCCCACATGCAGTAACATGGGGCCCACAGGAATGATTACTTTCAGATGCCAGATGTTATATGTTGACTTAACCTCTGAATTTCTCAGAAGCTTGGACATCCATTATTTCATGTGTTCTTCCTAACGACAATGAAGAGCAACTTCTCCCATTTTACAGATGGAGAAGTCATTTTCCTTAAGGTCAATAGGAACATGTGAGAGAGACCTGGATCCTGCTTGGCCACTTATTAGTTGTGTAAATCTTTACTTTTCCTGAGTTTCAATTAATTGTAAAATGGAAATAACAATAATACCTAAGAAGAAGAGAATATATGTTTGCCAATCATCTAGCAGAGAGCCTTATATAAAAATTGCTCAATAAAGGTTACCCCTCCCTTTCCTCATTCTCCTATTTGTGACTCCGGGCATAATATTCTTTTCAAACACCGTGCTACCATTTCTTGATACCCTCTCACCAACTGCATTAACAGATTGGTGGTAAAGAACATGATTTTTTGGTAATTACCATGTGATACCAAATGAAACCTTAGTGAAGTCCAGCTATATTATATAATTTTAAGTATAACAAACTTTCTCCCTTTTGTCCATATGGTCTACCACTTTATCAGAGTAGAAAACAAAATTGGTCTACCAAGATTTGTTCTTTATAAAATTGGGCTTAATGTTCCCCAATACCTTCTGTTCTTTTAGGTGACCGCCAAATGATTTACTTGATTTGTTCTAGTTTCTGACCAAACATTGTTTAAAAAATTAAGTTGACCTCATCATATCCAAAGTTATCTTTTTCCCCTTTAAAAAAATGTGTCTTTTTCTGTCATCAGATACTTTTCCTATTCACCATAATTTGTCAAAGATAAAAGCTAATAGCTTGGCACTAGGTTCTTTTCCATCACATTTGCAGAGAGAGGATATCTAATACTGAATTATAAGCACTATTCATGCCAAATATGGCCATAGCAATTGGTATTTCTGGTCAAATGGGCAGCATTTTCCTAAGAAAAAATTAAAATGCTAGGAGATAGCATGTTCTCTTACAAAGCGAAACTGCTGCATAATTAATATTTTTTTCCTGGATAGCAAGGATATCACAAAGCACACTCTGTTGGCTTCCAAGTATCATTTAAAATACTCCCATGTCTTAAAGCAATCTGGAAGTGGATGTTAAAAGCCAAAGGAATTTTTTTTTGTACTGCAGGTTCTTATTAGTTATCTATTTTATACATATTCGTGTATATATGTCAATCCCAATCTCCCAATTCATCCCACCACCACCACCCACCACGCCCTCCCCCACCACTTTCCCCCCTTGGTGTCCATACGTTTGTTCTCTACATCTGTGTCTCAATTTCTGCCCTGCAAACCAGTTCATCTGTACCATTTTTCTAAGTTCCACATATATGCGTTAATATACAATATTTGTTTTTCTCCTTCTGACTTACTTCACTCTGTATGACAGTCTCTAGATCCATCCAGGTCTCTACAAATGACCCAATTTCGTTCCTTTCTATGAAAGCCAAAGGAATTTTTCAATCAAGTGTTGACTTCTGAATTCTACTACCTTCTCAATAAGCTAGAAGGCATACTGGGAGGCTACAATCAGAAGCACCAGAGAAAAGTGGTGCTGTGGAAACAATTCATTTGTGTTTGGCATAGTTAAGGTTCATTGCCAATTTGTAACGGTATGAATTCAATAACTTTCCAAAGCCAAAAATGAAGTTTGGACCTGAGCAGCTTTTCAAAGTAGCTTTTGCTGAGGGCTAGTACTTAATATAAAATAAAAAAGCTGTTAGAGGTGGTAAAGTGAGGCAATGTTTAAGAATTAAAATATGACCTATTGGGCTTCCCTGGTGGCGCAATGGTTGAGAGTCCACCTGCCGATGCAGGGGACGCGGGTTCGTGCCCCGGTCCGGGAGGATCCCACGTGCCGCGGAGCGGCTGGGCCCGTGGGCCATGGCCGCTGGGCCTGTGCGTCCAGAGCCTGTGCTCCGCAACGGGAGAGGCCGCAGCAGTGAGAAGCCCGTGTACCGCAAAATAAATAAATAAATAAAATAAAATAAAATAAAATAAAATATGACCTAGCACTTGATTTGCTAAAAAAAAAAAAAAGCACTGAGTTAAAGGCAAGATATTTTGCTTCAGTCATTCACTCTTTCTTGAGCTAAGAAAGAGCGAAAGAGCCCCTTTATGAAAAGGAGATGGGGATTATATTTTGTCTATAAATGACAATATTACTTGTCCTACTAATCTCATGAGTCTGACAGAAGGATAAGTGAAATAAGAGCTGTTAAAGCATTGTTCAAAATGTAAAGTAGATAGCAATGTAAGACATAATTATATTTTTAAAATTTGTAAGCATTTACAACAAAGTCATTTTATGGTGCCAGTCCCACTGGCCAACTACACATTACTGACAAAGTAACTTAGTGATACTTTCTCAGCCCTTTATGGAATTATATTTATCAAAAAATATGAATATTTGTCTTATCTGTCAGTTTCTACTCATTTGGTTTCACCTTTATAACTTAATACTTATAATAAATAAACCCAATATAAATCCACCTAATTAAAAAGTGAAAATTTGGAACATTATCTCATAAAAATCACTAAAATCTCCATCATTATATATCAAGAATATCTCAATATTACTGCAAAGAGCTTTCAGTTTTAAATAAATAGGCTTCATAAAATAAATTAACTTCTCATTATTGACAGTCAAAATAAAAAGTAAAAAAAATCAATGGTTTCAAACAAAAACAACACTCATATCCTTGTCCCATTAGACACCTCAACTTACTTCATCTCCCTTCAAAACTTCGGTGCCATCAAATTCACGGGTCTGATTTGTCTTCGCTGACACTTCTCTCTCTAGGTTGGCTAACTTCTCCTTTGCCTCCTGAAGTTCCTCAGCTTTGGCTTCTTTTTTACGAGAAATGATGGATGCCTAATTGAGCATTAAATATGAGTGTAAAATAAGATATACAATCAACTTTCTATTATCTTGTGAAATTAAGTACTTTTTAGATTTTACTGAGCTAAATTTTCAATATCAGGTTGATTTCTCCTGACAATAATACCCCTTGCCCTACTACCTACTATCACCAGTTATATATTTAGTATGAGTATGCATTGTGTGTGTGTGTATATATATATATATATATATATATATATATATAAATTTATATTCTTTTTTGGCTGCAGTGTGCGGCTTACAGGATCTTAGTGTCCCCAACAGGGATCGAACCTGGGCACCCGTGGTGAAAGCGCTGAGTCCTACGACTGGACCACCAGGGAATTCCCTGCAACGTATATTAAATAGCAACCTAAAAACATTATGGAAGACAAAAGCCCTGAAAATATAGGACGTATCAGCAGAGAAACAGAAATGCGATAGTAATAAAAATATTAAAATCTTGTTAAGTAACACTCAAATGCTAATGAAAATACCTTCTAGGTAAGTACAGAAGCTAACACTAGGTCTACTGTTTTTCTGCATGGTCGGTTTCCTTTCATTGGAAGAAAACAAGAATGCTTTATTCTCAAAACTACAACACAGGTCTTCTTATCTAAATTCAATATCCATACCTTTAAAATAAAATGTTAAAACATTTATTATATTTGGGGCAATCTAATAAATAAAATGCAGGTTCAAAATCAAACATCTGACTCACCAGAATTATGCAAACGTTTACACAATCCAGATGGCTGCTCTTAGCCATAATGGCAGCATTTTATATTAGTTAGCAACTCACGGGGGATTTCCTTAAATGAACCATGGCTGTACTGGTTTAAGAAAAACATTAGCTAAACTGTCTTCTCAAGTGAAATAGTACAAATATTTTCTTCAAACAAATTTGACAAGAAGGGGGAAATCTTTAGTCTAAACCCTTTAAAAAACTCTATTGTCCTCCCTGTTTAAAAAATGAAAAAAGACAGATGATGAAGGAATGTTTCCCTCTATAGAACTGTTTCAGCCAAAAAAAAAGAGAAGTAATGATTAGAGTACCAGAATTGTATAGGAATTGATGGTATGCTTCCTCAACATGATAAAATAAATAAATATAAACCTCAGCCCAAACCAGGATCTTATTTAATAGAGACATATGAGCATATATCCTGCCAAAGTCTGAAACAAGGTAAAAATGCCCAGCATCTCCACTACAATTTAATACTGTGCTGAAGGTATTTGCACACACCATTAGACAAGAGAAAGCAATTAGAAGCACAAGAATCTGAAAGGAAAAATTGGAATTTTCACAGTATATGATTATGTACCTAAAAAATCAAAAGAATCTACAGGAAATAAATCAATAGCTTTCATAGACAAATCAGTCAGAAAACATTTGGAAAGAAAAGCCCTCATTTATAAAAGCAAAAACCAAAATTAAATATGTAAGCATAAGTTTAACAAGAGAAGTTCCAAAATTTTATGAGGAAAACTATTCAACACTCCTGAAAGATACAAAAATAAACTTGAACAAATGGAGAGACATACCATGTTCTTAGATAGGAAGACTCAATATTGTAAAGATGTAAGTTCTAAGGTAATTGATAAATACAAAGCAACCCTAATAATTTTAAAAGTATGATTTTTTTCTAGAGATAGACAAATTGATAATAAAATTTATTTGGAAGAACATACAAATAAGAAATGTAAGGGATTTCCCTGGTGGCGCCGTGGTTAAGAATCCACCTGCCAATGCAGGGGACACAGGTTCAAGCCCTGGTCCGGGAAGATCCCACATTCTGCGGAGCAACTAAGCCTGTGCACCACAACTACCGAGCCTGCGCTCTAGAGCCTGCAAGCCACAACTACTGAGCCCACATGCCACAACTACTGAAGCCCACACGCCTAGAGCCCGTGCTCCGCAACAAGAGAAGCCACCACAATGAGAAGCCCACGCACCGCAACGAAGAGTAGCCCCCGCTCACTGCAACCAGAGAAAGCCTGTGTGCAGCAACGAAGACCCAATGCAGCCAAAAATAAATAAATTTATTTAAAAAAAAAGAATTGTAAGGAAACCCTAAAAAAGTAAAACAACTGGGGATGAAAATGGCTACTTTTATTAGTTATTAGAACTTGATGATAAAGTTTCTATAATTAAAACAGTTAATATGGGTACATAAGCAGACAGGTCAACAGAACAACAGAAAATCTAGAAATAGATCCAATAGCATTTAAAAAATTTAAATAAAACAAAGGAGGACTCTCAAATCCATAGGGGAAAGATGGACTTTTTACCAACTGGTATTGGAACAACTGGATAATTGGACAGCCATATACAATAAATACCATACACCAAAGAAAAATTCTAAACAGATCAAAGATTTAATTACAAAAATTAAATCACAGAATTCCAAAAAGGAAACTTGAGTAAATTTCTCTATAACTTTCAAGAGGGAAAAACATTCCTAAATATGACTTGAAACCTGAAATGATAAGTGAAAAAATTAATAAATTTGATTTCCTAAAAATGAAGAACTTTCCCATGGCAAAATAATACCATAAACAAAGTAAAAAGGCAAGTACCAAACTGGGGAAAATGTTACACTTATAAGCTAGATAAAGAGTAAATATTCCTGATATGTAAAGAGTTTCTAAAACTAGAAAAAAAAGGCCTACAGCCCTATAGAAAAATAGGTATAGATAGGAAGGGATAATTCACAGAAAAAGAATTAAAATGACTGTTACTCATGTGAAAAGATGCTCAACTTTGTTTATGGTAAGATAAAGAAAATTAAAACTATCATAAGATACCATTTCTCATCTACAAGGATGGCAAAAATCTTAAAGTTTGACAACATACTCTATCGGTGAGGCTGTAAGGAAACAGGTGCTCTCATACACTGCAGATAGGAATGTAAAATGCTAAAACCCCCATGAGGAGGAATTAGGCAATACTTAGCAAACTTACATCTACATTTATCGTTTGATGTAGCAATCTCACTTCTGAGACTATATCCCAAAGATACGCTGGCAAAAAATTGCAAAGACATAAACAAAAAGCTATTTATTTAAGTACGATTTGTAATAGCACAAAAATGGCAACAACCCAAATGTCCATTAATGGGGATTGGTTGAATAAACTGTGGTATAACCACTCAGTGCAGTATGTCTGTGAACAGGAATAAGCATATCCACTAGGACGGCTATAATAAAAAAGACAGATAATAACAAGTGTTGCTAAGAATGTGGAGAAATCAGAACCTTCATACACTGTTGGTGGGAATGTAAAATGGTACAGCTGTTTTGGAAAGCAGTCTGGCATTTCCTTAAAATGTAAAACACAGAATTATCATAGGAACCAACAACTGCACTCCTAGGAGTATACTCAAGAGAAATGAAAACTTATTTTGAAACAAAAACTTGTACAAGAATGCTCCTACCAGCATTATTCATAATAGCCAAAAAAGTAGAGACAACCCAAATGCTCATCAACTGGTGAAGAGAAAAACAAAACGTGATATATCCATACAATGGGATATTATTCAGTAACAAAAAGGAATAAAGTATGTACAGATACATGCTACATCATGGATGAATTTTAAAAACTTTACACTAAGTAAAAGAAGCCAGTCACGAAGGACCACATATTGTATGATTCCATTTATATGAAATGTCCATGACAGGCAAATTTATAGAGATAGTTTGGTCTTTGGTAGGATTTGGGGGAAATGAGAAGTGACTGCTAATGATGGCTTTGGGGGTTATTTTTGGGGTGATAAAAATGTTCTAAAATTGATTGTGTAATGATTGCACAACTCTGTGATGCTAAAAACCATTGAATTGTAAATTTTAAATGGGTGAATTGTACAGTATGTAAACTGTATCTCAATAAAGTTATAAAGGAATAAAAATTATTTTACTATTCACAAGCATATTAAGAAAAAAGCATGGAGAATAAAAGTGTATAATATGCTCTTCTTTCTCTGAGGATGGAAATATATGAATATATGTATATGTAATATTATTTTTAATGGAATAATAAACTATAAAATTAAAAAATACCTATGGGAGAAGGAAAGAATAGCATGGATAGCACAGAGGTAGATGCTAGAAACTTCAAATACTTCTTGTTTTATAGGTTTGACTTGGAATCATGTAAATATTTTAAATAATTATAAAATTAATCTCGAAAATGTAATCCATAAAAATCAAAATGACCATATATATTTATCCAGTTTCCTTTGTGGCCTAACCATACAGAAGAATTATTCCCAGTAACTTTAGAACAGTAATTTGACTATATAACCCTAGGGGGATATATCCTAAAGACAAAACAAACTAAAAAACAATTTTCAGCAGTAATCGTATTTTTGATGGTAGTACTGGTACTTTTATTTTGAAACTGTTGCATGTAATGCATGGATTTAAGCAAATGATGAACTATGTTGGTGCCAATGGAATGAAGCAAATAATGAATGCAATTATGTTGATGCTTCTGAGAACCAGAATTTTCAATTTGGGATAAGGAGGAAAATGGGAGATTGATGAGGTGAAGTAAAAACCCAGTAGTCCTGGAGGGCATTTCGTTTGTGGAACAGACAACCCTACACTTTCAAAACACAGATTCCAATGTCTAGTCATGGGTCAATTTAAAAGGTTGAAGAATATCTACCATTGGTCACACTACAGGAGGCCAGGGACCATCATATTAAAATGGGTGTTGGGTCTTTTCCTTCCAGAGCAAAAAAGGGGGAGGTGGGGCTTACTGTGGGAAGTCATAAACCACAGAGAGATTAACCTAATCATCCTGGCTCTTTTCCACACTCCACCATGCCAAGCAAACATCCTCTGAGCAGTCAGCATGAGAGTGCTTGGAAAAGAGTCATAATAATTACCCAGTATTTTCTGGATAGATCCTTGATACACCTTCTATATGTTTCTTTCATTCTAAAGTTGTTCTCTGAGGAGCTGATATCTTATTCCAATAATGACCCATGCTTATCTGCTCTGATATGAGGCCATCTACTGAGCAGGAACAAATACTGTAGAATTCCCTCCTATTCAGAGAAGCCATATCAAAAGGATTGCTAGCCATCAATAATTGAGCAAGAACTGTTTTTCTATAAACAAATATTGGGCAGAATGGCCCTCTCTGACAGCAAAGTAGAGATAAAAAAGTAATTCACCTAACTTCATCTCCTCTATACTCCAGGGAATGGCAAATTGGAGATTTACTTACCTAGAATTTTAATTCATTCTTCAGGACCAAGTTAATAAAAGACCAAGAAACTCCTGATTAAACTGGATATGGAGTATTTTGTAGACAGGGCTGCAGATTTTGGCTTTGTTATATTTCTGCTTTCTCAGTTAACATTTCAGAGCTGAAACATTCCACATTCCCCAGCAGTGTGGGGGCCAACTCAGGCTTACAATTCTGACTAAAAATCACCCTGTGCTTCTAGCTTATCCAAATTTTCTGCCCCTCACTAAGCATTACACTATCCAGGAGATACACTAGCAAGTTGTGCAACTGAAAAAAACCCACACTTTTCATTTAGATTCTTGCAACTGTATCATATGTAATATTATCACTTTTTCTACATTTTGGTCAAATAAATTTTTATATCAACTAAAAACAAACAAACAAACAAAACCAGTAGTCTTGAATCTGAACTGAAAGGATCAGTATGAACTCATGGTGTACTTTATGAGAGAGAAAGAGAAAAAATACTTCCTAGCTCTGTCCACTAAAAAGACCTAAAAACAATGGCCACCCCAGTAGCAATGAGAAGTACTAATACCAGATTGTGGTCTGTAAATATCATTTCCTACTAAAACATATCAGGCTCATAGAAGAAAGTCTAATTCCAAGACTGGGGTAGGAAATGTAAAAGATGAGCCTAGAAACTATCTTAATCATACCAGAAAGTAAGGATGTTATCAAAGACAAATAGTATTTTAAAAGGACTTAGAAGTTAACTGGAAAAGCCTCCTACCAGCCAAAAATGGGACAATTTAAGCATCATTAAGGAAAATGTCTGCAACCTAAATTTCATTACATCTATGGTTCATAATAACATTAAATAGATAAGAAACCAAAAAAAATTTAAAACTAACCCTAATTAATCATTTTTAATGTTAGACGCAACCAATCCATTTTGAAAACTGAAAAATAAAAATAAGAATCAAGCATGTATCCTGACTTTCCTATATGAACTATACTCCAGGATAACCAAATAGCTGATGAGAGGAGGTTTCTCTTTTCAGAAGTAGCCCAGCTCCAACATCGCTAATTATTAGAGAAATGCAAGTCAAAACTACAATGAGGTACCACCTCACACCAGTCAGAATGGCCATCATTAAGACATCTACAAATAACAAATGCTGGAGAGGGTGTGGAGAAAAGGGAACCCTACTCCTCGGCATATATATGGACAAAAACATAATTCAAAAGACACATGCACCCCTATGTTCATAGCAGCACTATTCACAATAGCCAAGACATGGAAACAACCTAAATGTCCATTGACAGATGAGTGGATAAAGATGTGGTACATATATACAATGGAATACTACTCAGCCATAAAAAAAGAATGAAATAATGCCATTTGCAGCTACATGGATGGACCTAGAGATTATCATACTAAGTAAAGTAAGTCAGAAAGAGAAAGACAAAAACAAGGTCCTACTGTACAGCACAGGGAACTATATTCAATATTCTGTGATAAGCCATAATGGAAAAGAATATAAAAAAAGAATGTATATATGTATAACTGATTCACTTTGCTGTACAACAGAAATTAACACTGTAAATCAACTGTATTTCAATAAAAAAAGTAGTCCTGCTAATAAATGAAGAAGGAATCATAGTATCAACATTTTATTGTCCCTAATGAAATAAATGGGCAGGCACTGATAATCAATGGCACAAAAAAAATCACAAAAAAAGAGACAACCAGACATTAGTCCCTCCAAATGAAAGTATAAAATACCACTTAGAGAATATTCTTGACCAAAAAAAAAAAAAAAAAAAAAATCAAAACAGAACCTGTTCAAGCTTCTAGATCTAATATATAGGAAATACAGGAAACAGAGGAACATTTTAAAAGGACACCATCAGGCTGCAATCAGTAAAACACCAACTATGGGAAATGCTATAGGATAAATAAACAAGTTTCAATTAAAAAAACTGCAAGAAAATTATTAAATGAATGGATAAATAAGTAGGGAAGAGAGCCTATAGATTAAAAGAGACAAATATATCAACCAAATGCAGTGTATAAATCCTGTATGGATCCTAATTAAAACAAAGCCACTGGGGGAAAAAAAAAACAGGAAAGGAAAAAAAGAAAGAAAGAGACAATCAAGGAAATCTGAACATTGATTGGATATTTGCCAATATTAAGGAAGTAATAAAAGTGTTCAAATGTGGTATGTTAAGTTTTTTAAAAGTATTTTTTAAAGATACGTTCTAAGATATTTGTAGATGAAATTATATGAAGTCTAAGATTTGCTTCAAATAATCCAGTTGGGGCGGGGGGTATAGATGAAATAAGAATGGCCATGATTGCTATAGCTGAGGGACACACGAGGGTTTACTGAACTATTTTCTCTACCTTTGTATATGGTTAAATTTTTCCATTATAAAAAGGTTTTTTTAAAAATTCTAGCATCCTTGAATAATGCTTTGTTATGTTGCTCAGTATTTTCTGAGGTTACAGAATGCTCTTCACACTAAGCTCTTCTTGCCAAGGTTCTTGTCAGGTAATCCATGGCTGTCATTTGAGCCTTCTGTCTAGAAATACATAACAACATATATACCCTCATGACTTCTGGATAAAATGATAAATGCCTTAGCACTAAAATTCAATTTATTCTGTATTTTTTCAAACTAACTTTAAACCTGAAAAAGTATATTGCCTTTAGTTCATTAAAGATTATAAATAGTCTTATTTATATCACTTAAAGTAAGCATTCATATAAAAAATCAAATTTCACACTCACAGATATAACCACAAAGAGCTCTATCACCACAGTTGGCAGACACTAAGGAAACTAAGCATTATCAGATATATTGAATTTCAAACCTGAACATGTGTCTTTTGTGGCTTTTCCACAAATTCTTTCTTATAATCTGGAGATTAGCAATGACAGGAGAACATTTATTCTTTGCTTCCTTCTCACTTTAAGACTATCGATAACACAGACGATGGTATTAATGAAAATGTTCACCAACAAGATTACAGACCTAAATATGTGAGCCAAAAGGAGTGGTCTTACCTGTTGCCTATATAGTGACAGTTTGCCTTCAATTGGCTCATTTCTCATCATTTTCTTTTCAATCAGCTGACTGATCTGTGTGTTTATTTCATTTATCTAAAACAGTATGAAAATAAAAAGGTTAAAACTCTGCCTATGATTACCCAAACTAAGGGACATCTGGCCAAACAAAACTTTGAATTTACAGTTGTTATTATCAGTAATTTGATGGGAGGATCAGCTCCATTAACATTATGAGTGGGCTGTTACGATTACTTTTAGAGACAACTTGCATTTCACAGTTCATGATATATATTTACACAATTTGATTACTTACATGGATTTAACCATCTATATCTAAATTATCCTAAAGTATTCTACATGAAATATTTATATATTCCTATCAAAAAGATTTCTAAAAATCTGAAGTTATCCCTTCACCTAGGCTGTGACTTTCAAGTAACTGTAAGTGATAAAGCAAATCTGGACTAACATTCCCCAGGGATTTAGTACAAGGAATTCACGAACCCAGCTGAGAGTTGACATGAATGACATCTAAAAACCCTTCCTGTTCTAATGAATGATCTATGATTCTATAATAGCTGTCACTTATCCTATTGATTAATCCAAACTTTTCTCAAATGTAGTAAAACTGAATAAAGCCAACAGAAGCATATAGTCCTATAATAAATTTTTTAAAATTACATGGCTTTCAGTATAACTATCCTTTGAAAAACTAGAATTTTCCTGTTAATCTTATAACATTAAACTGAGCCAAATCTGACTTGGACAACTAATTTCTATACATAAATTAAAAGAATAAAATCATTAGAATTATGTATTTAATTGTAGTGGCTATTAAGCACATTAAAGTCAAAATCTTTCAATCAATTTTCATGATATTTAATTATTATTTTAAAAAATATACATTTGATTAGTGTTTTTAGGGAAGAAAAATGTTATACCAGGTTTCAATGAGCATTACAAGAAAGTTTAGTAATTCCAAAGCAGGCATAAAAAGCTAATAAAAAACATTAGCTTTAAATACAAAATTGCTATAACATTATTCTTGGAAATAAAAAGTAATCACATTTACGATATTTTAAAAATTGTCAACTAAATTATTATATTCTGAATATATAAACTTATGAGTCAATCATATACATTAATTTATATATCCAATTTACCCACTTTCCTAATCAGTTGACTAGGTTTTTATAACACCATGTGGATTAAGTGACAGCATTATGTGCTATAATTTCTCATAAAGAACAACTCCTCATAAGAGCTGTCAGCTCTTAGCACAGGTTAACTTAAGAGTCAAGAGTAGGACACTATAGAAAGCAGTTCACATAATTTTCACAGGAGTGGGGATGAGATAAAATTGGAAGCTTATAAAAAGAAGATGATTGTTACTTACTTTAGATTCAAGTTCAAGAAGATCAGAATGACCCATAGCAGGCTCTGAAACCACTTTCTGTAAAAAATGCAATTCTTTTTTCTTGTTCTCTAATTCTTTAGGAAATTTTTCAGTTACCATATATGAATTAAACTTTATCTCCTCCTCTAGCCTCTTCATTAAACCTATAAAAATAAAATAAGTGAATATTCAGCCCAAGAGAGTAGGTAAAGTGATGCTTTGTACATTTTAAAACATAAGACCTGGATAGTACGGCACATCCATTGAGAGCATTCTGTATAATACCTAGCATAGAACAATAAAAGATTGGCCACTGAAATTTTTTGCTGTTAATTAGAGTGATAATGAAGGACAATTTACATAGAAGAATATTTAAATTATAGAAAAAGTAATATTATGATCTTTCCAAATTACCACCTAATTCTTTTACAGTCCACAATATGCAAAAATAACCTTTACGGTGCCAAATATTTTGTTGGGTCATATTTTGTCGTCTAAGTATTTAAGGAATCCATGAACCAAATGACAACACAAATGAAATCTAATCCAGGTTATTTCTTCTATAAGTGGTCATTTATTCTTCTTCTTTTGCAGTACTTATGATGCAATTTATATTTCTATTCTAATACTTCATAAATGGTAATACATTATCATTTTTAGCTTTAAACCAATGAAGATATTACTAAAGGTACAAGTTAAAATCTGAAAAAGAGAAATTATCTACATTCATAAACATTTTCAGTTTTCCATGTTTGGTAGTTTTGATTTTGTAAAGTATTAGTTTACAGTTAAGTGGCAACTTAAATTACATTTTCTTATTCTGGCAGTATTAGTTTACAGTTAAGTGGCAACTTCAAATACATTTTCTTATTCTGGCAGAGTGAACAAACATACACATATACAGATTTTCAGTGAATAATGGTTTTGTTATAAATTCCCAGCCTTGAGAGCTTTGAAAAGTTTATTTCAGATCTTTCCATTACACATTTACAAATTCTGGCTTGACTTTTTAAAACACTGGATTTCCAGTTTAAGTAATCTACGTACGTAGATTGCATAATAAATCTCAGCCAAAGCCTTAAAATTATTTTTAGTTCTGCTGTGCTAACCGTATATTAATGTGTAAAATTTTATTAATGGTAAATTCACGAGTTTTCCATTCATCCCTACAATTTTCCACCTCTTTTTTTAGGGACTGGGGATAGGAAGGGAAAAGAAAGTGTTTACTGAATCACACTATAATTAGGCAGACATTCCTATATGGTTTCCGATTAACTCTACCACCTGGCTTCTTTGGCTATTAGATGACTAGTTTTTCCACCTTCAAGTTCTTAAACATAGTGCATGTAATCAGAGATGCAAGAAATCAAAATCTAAAATGTTTTTAAAGATTTAAAATTCTTTAATATTACTTTCCTTATTTAAAAAAAGTTTCTAATTCTAGAAAATACAAACCAATCTATAGTAACAGAAAGCAGATCAATGGTTGCCTGGGGTGGGTTAGAGAGGCAGAGAGGGACAGGAGTGAGATATTACAAAGGGGCACAAGGAAATGTTTAGGGGTGATGGATATATTTGTTATTTTGATTAAGGTTGACAGTTTCACTAGTGTATATGTATGTCAAAACTTATCAAGTGTATACTCTAAACATGTGCTGTTTACTGTATGTCCATTTTACCTCAGTAAAGCTATTAAAAAACAAAAACAGAGTTTCCATCACATTTTAAATTCTTCTCTTAAAAATTTTAACTTATGAAAAGTGGACACGTTTCTATGCAGTTTTTTAAAAATTATCTTTGAAAATCCTGGTGAAATTAAATATAAGGTCACTTAAGATCTCCGCAAACATTTTGATTAAAAACCCTTTGAAAACGTCTCACTGATCCTATTACAACTGAATGAGTAGCTTCTTTTACATAATAAATCTCAGGAATATGTAGAGTATAAAGATGAATTAACAAGTGAGTAGTTTATAATACAGCTGTTACTCTGAAAAAATACAAATTATACTGTTATACTAAAAATACTTTTATGTTATTTAAGCAAACAGAAATTTTTTGTAAGCCATTTGTTGTTACTAAAAAATTTCGATGGACCTTATTAAACTAAATACCTGAAGCAACTGAACATCTGTTTAATTTACTCTTTTCCTAGGCTGCTGAATATAATCCTTAAGACTCTGCTTCCCAGAAAGATATCAACAAATCAGGAACTCCTTAACTTCCTGCTCCCCACTCCCTGTCCATCCACAAAAAACATATATTGCACACATAATACCTTATTTTTATATTTTCAGCCATTTTTTTTTCTTACTTGATTTCCCTCCTACCCATGGAAAAGATCATTTTCTTCCTATGCAGGGTTAAGGTCTCTACTCCCACCACCCAACTATTTAACAGATTGTTTACTGAATGCTGGCTGTGTGTAATCTGTGTGCTAAGGCCTGAAAATAGAAAGAACAATTATGACTTGGTGACTAGCCTGTTTAGCTGTGTCAGAGTCAGATATGCCAACAATTAACATATTATGGTAATTGCTGTAGAACATTCAGCGCAATACAGGGACACAATGGGAGCACACAGGAAAGGTTGTTACCAATTCTCACCTTTTCCTCCTGAATCTTCCAATCTTCCTTTGTCTGACTGACTCTCCAGCAATGTGAACACCACTAGACCACTACCCTGCCTCAATCTATGCACAGTACTATATTTCTCAATCATTTGCACACTCTCTCCCTTGCTTTCTTTTCAAAGACAAGCAGTCAGAAGAAGCCTGCCCTTTTATCTCTACTTCTTCCTCCATCATTTGCTTAGCTTACTACATTTATGTTCTTTTAGGTCACTCTGCCTTGGCATGGAATGTCTTCCACTCTTCTACCTCTCCAGCTTTAATTTAACTCAATTGCCACACCTCCAGGAAACCATTTGACTCTGTGTTAGCGTTTAGTGCTCTTTGCCTCTTTGTTCTCATGGGAGCCTGTGCTGAGCTCCATCGGTGTATTTGTCACACTGCATTATAATTGTCCACTGCTTGTCATTTCTCCATTAGACTGTGAGCACTTTAATAGAAATAGCTTTTCTTTCTATTCCTAGCACTTAGCACAGTATCTGACAAGTAGCAGATGTCCAGTAAACACTGAATTAATGGACTATTGGTTTTGAGCCAATTACTTCTGTTACTGCGTAACAACACAATTGACTTTACTATTTAGCATCATCTACTAACATTTCGAGAGATGCCCAAAACAGAACAACTTTATTTGTCCATTATATTACTAAATAATTATGTATTTCCTGGCCCAAACAATTCTATTTAGGCTAGAAAGCCAAAGCAAAACAAAGTCTATCAATTCAAACAAAAAATGAAATATTACTAATACTATAAATATCTTTGGATATTCTGTTTAGTTACCAGAATTAAAACATAATAGCAAGAAATATTTAACCAAATAAAACTGAGGATAAGCAGAAACACATGTTCAGGCTAACATTTTAAGTTGTATTAAACTGTACTGATCAATCAATTTTTCTGCATACCAAATCTTTCAATTCTTATATACATTACCTTCATTTTCAAAAATTCACTATTAATGTTAAGTTCTAGAAATTTCTTAGCAAGGATAGACATATGAAAACAAATTGCTTATTGATATTAATTTTTAAATGGCTATAATTTAAGGAATTTCTTTTGAAGATTTATCTTAATTTTTTTACAGTAAAGATGTGAAGGAACCTACATCAAACCCAAAGAACATATACTAAAAAGATATACTATATATAATACTAAGGAGGAAAAAAAGCACTAAAAAATTACTTTCTTTTGTCCTAAACATTCTCCTAAAAGGTGAAAACCTAGTGAATAAGGAATCAAATGACACCAACAACTAAATGCATGGCAACTTCCAGGTACTGCTTGAATCTGAATTTATGACTGAGAGGAGTCAGAGATTCTATGGAAAGCCACTAATTAATACGTATGAACCATACATTTTATAGGGAGTACTATACTGGTTTCTTAAATATCAATTAAATATGCCGTATTTCCTTGATTTTAAGATGCCATCAACTAAATTACAAATACCATGTGAAATGCATACATAAAGTATAAGATGTATCTCAATTGCAAAACCAATTAAAATGGTAAAGAACATGTGTCTAGAATCAAGGAAATACTGTATTACCTCTTTCAACAGCTTTATTGAGATATAATTTACCACACAGCCATAAAATTCATCTGTTTAAAGTGTACAATTCAATGGCTTTTAGTAAATTCACAGAATTGTGTAACGATTACCACAATCAATTTTAGACCATTTTAATCAGCTTAAAAAGAAGCCTCTATACCCACTAGCAGTCACCTCCTCCCCCCATCATCCACCTACCAACACAGCTGTCCTCCCCTACAGTTCCCCAACCCTAGGCAATCACTAGTTTGACTTCCATCTCTATGGATTTGCTTATTCTGGAAATTTCATACAAATGGGGTCATATAATATGTTTTTGTGACTAGTTTCTTTCACTTAAGATGTTTTTGGAGTTCATGCATATTGTAGCATGTATCAACACTTCATTCCTTTTATTGTTGAATAACATTCCACTGTATGGATATGCTACAGTTTGTTTATTCATTCATCAGTTTAGGGATACTGGGGTTGTTTTTACTTTTTGGCTATTATGAACAATGCTGCTATGAACATTTATGTACAACTTTTTGGGTGGACATATGTTTTAAACTCTCTTGGTAGAATAAAATTGCCGGATCATATGGTAATTCTAGGTTTAACACTTTGAGGAACTGCCAAACTGTTTTCCAAAGTGGATGCATCATTTTACATTCCCACTAGCAAAGTATGCAGGTTCCAATTTCTCTACATCCTTGTCAACACCTGTTATTGACTGTCTTTTTTATTACAGTCATTCTGTATATTATATCTTAGAGTATAATATTTCACAGAATACTAGAAAAAGATAAATTAACCTTCCCATAGCTGGATATTTATACTGAAATATTTCTCCAATACCAATGAGAACTTTTTACTGCTCTTCCAATTTACATGGTCTCCCTTCTGATGAGCACACTTAAAAAATGCCTAGGATAGGTTTGGTGGTATAATCTGGGATATCAGAACAATGTATCCTCTATGTAAAGCTAATGTGCCAGCAGAGCCAGGGATACCCATGTCATTAGCACAACCCCAAATATGAAACAACACTCAGTTTTAAGGGTCCAGCATTTTACTCTTTTTCTTTATAGCCCTGGCACTAAAACAATATTCACATTTTTTCCATCCATCATTCTCATAAAATACATTCTAAGTATTTTATACATTCACACACCAGAGAGCCTCTCTCCATCGTGGTTTTCATTAGTTCACCCTCTGACAAAACACTGAAAGGGAATTTAAAAACCACAGGTGAACACTTAAGGATGTCTTCATCAGGGCTGTCACTTGCTAGCTAGGAAATGATGCCCTAAAATGCTGAGCTATCACTTGATGATAATTAGTTCCCATTAGTAAGGAAGACTACTGATTTAAATTAATATTCTCGCTAATATGATGACTTATATCATATTATATGATTATCATATAATTTCCACTTACTTTCAGGCTTCGCATCTGCTGCTGCATGGCGCATACTTTTCAACTGGTTTTGTATTCTTTGCAGTCTCTGCACTGCATGAAATAGCTTTAAAATACAATTAGATCTATTACTTCCTTAGTCTAATGAAACCTACCATTCATAGACATGCAATGAAAAATACAAGTTCCACATAATTATTATGCTGTAAAGGGAACAAATGATAAGAACTAAAAAATTACTAAGCTAAACCCAAAATGTAATTGGTTCGCTCAATACCCTCTCATGTAAAACTTAAAAGAAAAGCTTTCAGAAACTTTTTCTTTAGTTATTTGTTGAATTAGGTGATCAAGGAAAAATGCTGGTTAGAAAAGTATATGCACCAGGCTTTTCTTGTTAAAACATGGTTTTCTTTATTCTAAGGAATGCTAGTATTCTCAGAAATGATGGCTCAGGAATCAGAAACTGATGCTAAGTAACCATTCAGGGCGTGGGCAATGCAGCTTACTGCTGCAGGGTAACTATTATGATGCCAAGCCAAGTTCCAAAAGAGCCAAACATCTAAACTGCTCACTTAGTAGGAAATGAAGCTGATTTGAAATATATTTTTAATGTACAAGTCTACTCAGTGTTAAGATAGATTTTTTTTTTTTTTTTTTTTGCGGTACACAGGCCTCTCACTGTTGTGGCCTCTCCCGTCGCAGAGCACAGGCTCCTGACGCACAGGCTCAGCGGCCATGGCTCACGGGCCCAGCCGCTCCACAGCATGTGGAATCTTCCCAGACTGGGGCACGAACCCGTGTCCCCTGCATCGGCAGGTGGACTCTCAACCACTGCGCCACCAGGGAAGCCCTAAGATAGATTTTTAATAAAATAGAAGAAATACTTTCTGGCCGGGAATTCCCTGGTGGCGCAGTGGTTAAGAATCCACTTGCCAGTGCAGGGGACACAGGTTCGAGCCCTGGTCCAGGAAGATCCCACATGCCGTGGAGCAACTAAGCCCATGCGCCACAACTACTGAGCCTGTGCTCTAGAGCCCATGAGCCACAACCACTGAGCCCATGCGCCGCAACTACTGAAGCCCGTGTGCCTAGAGCCCATGCTCCACAACAAGAGAAGCCTCTGCAATGGGAAGCCCGTGCACCACAGCAAAGAGTAGCCCCTGCTCGCTGCAACTAAAGAAAACCTGCATGCAGCAATGAAGACCAAATGCAGCCAAAAATAAATAAATAAAATAAATAAATTTTTTTAAAAAAAGAAATTCTGGCCAAATTATTTTTTCTTTAAGGCAAAGTCTAAAAACGTGGAGTGTGGGTAATTTTGAGCCTTTTCAAGATCTGCTTATTTGCCCATGGAGTAAAGTGTAAAGAATACAGTGATCAGTGGAATAAAATGGATGTTTTTTCATAGCCCCACAATCTCAGGACACCCTTTAAGAGATTCTAGAAGTTTTATTAGCAGTTAATCTTACTGCTTAACATTACAATGGATATTCTGTAATGCTGGAACAACATGAGTTAAGCATGGGCCAAAAGATAGTGTATAGATACCTACAGAGACTAGAACCCAAAAGATGGTATTGTTTTTGCTGTTGGTGCCACACAATACTCTTTTTTTGTTGTTGTTTGTTTGTTTTTTTAAATTTATTTATTTACTTTATATTTTATTTTTGGCTGTGTTGGGTCTTCGTTTCTGTGCAACAGCTTTCTCCAGTTGCGGCGAGCAGGGGCCACTCTTCATCGCGGTGCGCGGGCCTCTCACTCTTGCGGCCTCTCCCGTTGCGGAGTATAGGCTCCAGATGTGCAGGCTCAGTAGTTGTGGCTCACGGGCTTAGTTGCTCCACGGCATGTGGGATCTTCCCAGACCAGGGCTCGAACCCATGTCCCCTGCATTGGCAGGCAGATTCTTAACCACTGCACCACCAGGGAAGCTCACCACACAATACTCTTAAAAAGAGTATTTCATCATGTTAACAAAGGGAATCGTGAACTACAATTCTAAAAAGTTTTCTTTACATTTGAATGATCAGCAGGAACTATTTCTTTCACAATGAGAATATAAACTTTTATGTGGGTACCTGATTCTTTTGTTCCTGTTTCTGTTGTGCAAGAAATTCTTCTCTCTCTTTCTCAACTCGAAGTTGCCTTGCTATTTGAAGCATCCGTTGATGATTCTGAACTGTCTCCACCTACAGTGAGGGAATAAATAGTATATATTACTATCAGGTTTAAGAAAGACATTAGCATGTCATGTGACTCAGACATCCACTTATCATTTCCTTTTGGTAAACAGTATTCCCTAGAGATGACACTAAAGTTTCAGACTCCAGGTCCTTAACAAGTTTCGGGCTGCTGCCTAAGGAGATTCCCTTTCCATCAATGTATTTGACTCCAGCCTCCGATGTACACTCATGCCTTGCTTAATCTTTATTTGCGTTCCTAAATCTTTGCAAGCCCTTGGGAATTGGGCCCAAAGTCTTACAGTGCTAATTCTTGCCTTACCCTTTTCTTCAAACGTTCAACTCTCTTAATGAGCTGATCCTTTTCTTCCTCCATTGCACTGATATCCTAAAAAGTAGTCAAGAAGACGTTATAAGAAAAAGTATTCTTTGTCTGTAGAATTCAGATAAGGTCTTTACATGATTATGCATCTACCATTTCCATCATTTATAACCAGAGCATTAAGGAACAAAGATCCTCTTTTGGATGAAGGGCATTTCTATTCCCACCCCTCACCCCAGGGTTCTTTATGCAGGGTAATTTATTTGGTAGCTTGGTGTTCATCTAGAAAAGCAACTGAAACAGGTTACAAAGCAGTAAGGTAAAGCTGCCAACCAGACATTTGTGTTCTGATTCCAAATATGGGCACATGATTTTTCAAAAATCTTCTATAATGGAAAGTGTACAGGTCTAAAAACATGAACAACAGCTGCTGACATCCCGTCTGCTCTGTTAAATACCAAACTATATATTCTGTCAATTTTCCACCAAAATTATTTTTAAGGCTATGGTGTTTTCAAGACATAAATTTGTATCTGGTTTTGTCAATTAACCAATTCCATTTCTAAAAATAAAGATTTCAAAAATGTCTTTTAACCAGCTCCACAATAGTTTCTAGTGAAAACAAACAAAAAATCCTTCCTAACCCAAAAAACTAATAGGCTAACTCTCACAGTAATAATAAAAGGAAAAATATATACGGTAGTCAGTACTGACAGGATTTGGGGAAATAGGCACTGTTACTACTGGTGGTATTATATTGAAGAACAATATCAAAAGTCTTAAAATAAATGTGTATGCATTCTGGCTCAGTAATTTCACCTCTGGGAATCTATAAAGATCCTCATAGATGTCAATTATATCTAAAATTTGGAAATGACCCAAATGTCTGAGGATTATTAAGTAAATCATGGCACAACACAATGAAAATCACTAAAAATCATGAAGAATGTTGAATGACATGAGAAAAAGTCATGATATGACATTACTTGAAAGAAGCAGATTATAACATTTATATATAATACAATACCAAGAAAAATATATTAAATATATTCACTAAAATATCAGTAGCAGTTATCACTAGAGCATGGCATTTTGAGTGAATTATTTTCTATTTTTTGCTTAATCATACTTCTTTACAAAGAATATGTTGAAAAATACTTTGGTAATAATTAATAAAATTAAAATCACAGACGCTAAGTTATTTTATCATTTTAGTTTACTCACATGACATAATGGAGGAACCATAGATAGACATCACTCTTATTCCATACTTTGCGATAACTATCTACTTATGGGTCTTTCTTTTCCATTAGCTATGAGTTCATCTTTCATTTCTTATACATTCATACATACATTCTCAAACTCTTATTGAGAACCTCCCACATGCAGGGCACTGTGATAGGCACTGGGGATACTGTGGTGAACAAGATATGTAGACGTGGTCCCTGCCCTCACTGGGTTTAAATACAGTTGGTAAGACAGGCATTAAAATAATCATAAGTGTAATGAGTGTTATGAAACAGAAAGAACTGGGGGGAACTAATCTATCTAGGGAATCAGGGAAGGCCTCCCTGAGGAAGCAACTTCTAATGTTTCCTGTTTGAATGAGAAGATAAAGATGTGATTTCTAAAAATACAAAATCCATGAAAGTGAGAATTAGCAATTGTTTAGAGAAAGAACTTACACACCTAGCAAGAATATAAAGACATTTTTTGGAGAACACTAAGTAACATACATCAAAAGTCCTAAAAATTCTCATATGCTTTAATAAGCAATTCTACTTCTAGGAATTTACTCTAAGGAAACAATCGCAGGTACCCCCAAATAAATTTATGTAGAAGATAATCACAGCATTATCTATGACAGCAAAAAATGAAAACAAAACACCAAAAATTGTTAGACTATCCATACCACAGAATATTAAATTAATACTAATAATTAATTAATATAAATTTAGTCATGAAAAATCATACTGTAGAAAGATAACAATGGGAATATATTCCCATGTAATGATTAAAAAAACAAATAATTATGTATAGCATGATCCCAAATACACACACACATATATTTTTTTTCTATATCATATATATATATTAGATAAAGACCCAATTTTTTTTTTTTTTTTTTTTGCGGTACGTGGGCCTCTCACTGTTGTGGCCTCTCCAGTTGTGGAGCACAGGCTCTGGATGTGCAGGCTCAGCGGCCATGGCTCACGGGCCCAGCCGCTCCGCAGCATGTGGGATCTTCCCGGACCAGGGCACGAACCCATGTCCCCTGCATCAGCAGGCAGACTCTCAACCACTGCGCCACCAGGGAAGCCCAAGACCCAAATTTTAATTGCTTTTAATCCATGGTAATGGTCTATATAGTACATAAGAACTAATTATGAAGTTACCCTGGCCTCATTAATTTCTTCAGTAAAGAATCAGCAAAGGTCCTACAAAAGAAAATTTGCCATTTGCTATCACTAGTTTCCACATAATCTTAAGACTCATACTGAATTTAATTCAAGTTCCCCAAAAAATGGTTATTATGTTTTTTTTCCTTTACCCTTCTTATTTCTGCTGTAGAAAATCCAGATGTCTTGAGCTGCTCACATTCTTTATGCAAAGTTTTAAAGGCTTCCATCAAATCTTCATACTAAAAGAACAAGTTAAAAAATTATAAACTAGTGACTAGATCCAGTAGGCTTTTCTTAATCAGGTTATCTATTAAAGTGATTACTTAATCGGTATAGAACAGCATTTAAATATATCCTTAAACATTTATACAGGACACAAAAAAAGTTGGTGTATATAATCTGGCCTCTAAAGATTTCTCTGGTTACTTCCCTAACTAACACTCTATTCACTAGCTTTGTTGATCTTCTTTCAATCCCTGGAATATTCCACCTTCACTTTACACACCCTATTCCCTCTGAGAATACTCTATGACTCCCTCACCATTTGCCAGGATAGCTCCTATTAATCCTTCAGGTCTCAGCACAGACACCACTATCCTCAAAGAAGCCTTCTCTAACCCTGTACCTATTCCATATCAGAGTACCATGATATCAGAGTAAATATCATATAAAATTATAATTGCTAGTTACTTTAGACAGTGAGAGTCAGGAGGATAAGAATCATATTACTTGTGGAGACTTCTACATTCCTAGGGCCTAGCATAGTGCATAACCAATACAGGTGTGCAATAAAAAGTAGTTGAATGAAAAAAATCACAACTCTTATCCAAAATTTTTTAAAAATAGGTCTTTTTGTGGATAATGACAGAAAATTAATAATATTTTTTCTTGACTGATCATATTCTGCAAGTCTGTAAATCATTCTAAAACTCTTCATTCAGAAAGACAATGTTCATTTTTTTTTTTTTTTTGCGGTACGCGGGCCTCTCACTGTTGTGGCCTCTCCCGTTGCAGAGCACAGGATCCGGACGCGCAGGCTCAGCGGCCATGGCTCACGGGCCCAGCCGCTCCACGGCATGTAGGATCTTCCCGGACCGGGGCACGAACCCGTGTCCCCTGCATTGCCAAGCGGACTCTCAACCACTGCGCCACCAGGGAAGCCCACAATGTTCATTTTTTATTAGGCTCTCTGCTAAATGGCTAAATGTGTAAGTCATTTTATACATATACTTCAAACATGCTTCGAGGACAAACATGTCTTATTATTAATCCTTCCATTAATAATTAGCTGGGCGTGTTTAGTAAAAGCCTATTAATAACCTTCCTCCAGGGACGTCCCTGGTGGTGCAGTGTTTAAGAATCCGCCTGCCAGTGCAGGGGACACGGGTTTGAGCCCTGGTCCGGGAAGATCCCACGTGCCGCGGAGCAACTAAGCCCGTGCGCCACAACTACCGAGCCGGCGGTCTAGAGCCCACGTGCCTAGAGCCCGCGCTCCGCAACAAGAGAAGCCACCGCAACGAGAAGCCTGAGCCCCGCAACGAAGAGTTGCCCCCACTCGCCCCAACTAGAGAAAGCCTGCGCACAGCAACGAAGACCCAACACAGGCAAATAAATAAATAAATTTATTTTAAAAATAAAATAAAATAACCTTACTCCAGAGGAATTGGTTTCTATCAAATTTATTGATGTGCGGGTTTCCCTGGTGGCGCAGTGGTTGCGAGTCCGCCTGCCGATGCAGAGGACGCGGGTTCGTGCCCCGGTCCGGGAAGATCCCACATGCCACGGAGTGGCTGGGCCCGTGAGCCATGGCCGCTGAGCCTGCGCGTTCGGAGCCTGTGCTCCGCAACGGGAGAGGCCACAGCAGTGAGAGGCCCACGTACCACAAAAAAAAAAAAAAAAATTTATTGATGTGGGAGGGTAGGGAGGATAAAATATTTCATATTTACAATAAATAAAATAAAATATAAAATAATAAAATAAAATATTTCATATTTACACCTCTCTATTTCTTACATTAGGTAAAGCATTCAAAGGTAGGGGCTGCAGTGGTCTCATTCTGCTATACTTTTCTCAAGGCATCTACTGTAACATTTGACATAATTATTTGCATAAATCTTTCAACCCTAGAAATGTCTTAAGAGATCAATACTGACTCTATTTTGAGTGACTGCTATGGATGAAACATATTTCATCCAAAATATATGGATGAAAAAACATTTAGTTGATTGTTTCGATTAATACAAATTTTGAGCACATACCATATAGAAGCAACCCTACCAAACTCTGGAGGAAAACAAAGATGGATAAGACATGATATCTGTTTTCATAGATCTCATAATCTATTGGGAGGGACAGATTGACAGACTACTCACAACAAACTGGCACAAAACGGCCTACATATCTACTATAGAACAAAAGCACAAACACTAAACAGAGGCAAATTTTTTTCTTTTAAATCAAAGTTCTTTGAAATCTTAAGCCTAAATTCTTTCTTTCCATAGTCTTTGATCAGCAATGTGCTTTGAAATCCCAGGACCAGGAGCCAGACCAGCCAGATCCTGAGTAGTCAAGAGCTTTAAGACCTTAAGGCCAGAACCCAGTATCACCCCAAAACTCTGGAGAGGAAAGTACACTGAAATTACAAATTCCTGGTCCCTTCTCTACCTTCTGCCTGACTGGAACATCCTTTGAGATCATAAGCTTGGCTTCTTTGTCTACACACAATCTTTGAAGGTGCTCACATGTACCAATTCGCCTGGCATACTGTCAATTTATACCTTTTGCTCCAGTGTAATTATGATAACCCCTTTCCTCTCTGATTTGGATGACAAATTATACAGTCACAGAACTGATCAACAAAGTATTCTGCAGTCCCAAGCCCAGGATCCTAACTACCCACAATTCATTTTTTTTTTTTTTATTCAACCCACATTTATTTATTTATTTTTTAAACATCTTTACTGGAGTATAATTGCTTTACAATGGTGTGTTAGTTTCTGCTTTATAACAAAGTGAATCAGCTATACATATACATATATCCCCATATCTCCTCCCTTTTGCGTCTCCCTCCCACCTTTCCTATCCCACCCCTCTAGGTGGTCACAAAGCACCAAGCTGATCTCCCTATGCTATGCAGCTGCTTCCCACTAGCTATCTATTTTACATTTGGTAGTGTATATATGTCCATGCCACTCTCTCACTTTGTCCCAGCTTACCCTTCCCCCTCCCCATGTCCTCAAGTCCATTCTCTACGTCTGCATCTTTATTCCTGTCCTGCCCCTAGGTTCTTCATAACTTTTTTTTTTTTTTAGATTCCATATATATACGTTAGCATACGGTATTTGTTCTTCTCTTTCTGACTTACTTCACTCTGTATGACAGACTCTAGGTCCATCCACCTTACTACAAATCACTCAATTTCGTTTCTTTTTATGGCTGAGTATAAAATATGGAACACTTCATGAATTTGCGTGTCATCCTTGCACAGGTGCCATGCTAACCTTCTCTGAGTCGTTCCAATTTTTAGTATATGTGCTGCCGGAGAGAGCACCACAATTCTTAAGTAATAAATTATTCTAAGATCCAAATTTCAGGGGGTTTTTTTCTATCCACATACTCTATCACCAAAAAGGTATTTGTGTGCAAAAGTCAATATTTTCATAAGTGATTACAGCTGAACATTAGCTGATAACTGTTTTACCTTTTGATGCCACTGGAAATACGGAGACAGCAAATAAACTAAAGTGAGATCAATATATATTTGAATGTGTGCACCTTGAAATCCACTACGGATAGCTTAAAAATACCATTTATATATTGTATACCTGTTTATTGGTATCAGCCACGGTTTCATCCTGAAGAAACTCACTTGGTACCTCAAGTTTTATTAAAAAACGAGCTAAATATGCTCTTTTCTTCAGTTCATTAGTCCTCTGAAGAAGCCAGTGGAGCACTGGGTAAATCACAGGTTTACTTCCAATCACCAGACCCTGACGAAAGTTACTCCTATAAAAAGAAAATAAACACACACACACACACACACACACACACACACAAGGCTTATAAGTAAACCTTGAAAAGAGGTAACATTTGCTCAAAATCCAATTTACAATTTCCTGATTGCTTTCCATGATTATTTTAAAAAGATAAAACCAAGGCTAATCTAAAGTCAGTCTGCACATTAACAATAATCATAAAATTAGGCCTTTAATATATCACTGGAATATACAGGGAGGTTGTTTTGGAACCATTAACCGGTACAGTCAGCCTAGATACTTCACTTCATTGACTGGACAGGTTTAAGTCATTGTTTTTGTCTAGGATGGCAGATAAATGATAAAATGGAATCATGGATTTGCCTGACTTTTCTGATTAAGAGAAAGAACTGACTCACTTAAGACTCCTGCATGACAAAATAACATTAAGAATTCAAGATTATTTTGAAATTCAGTGATTTTCTGAGGCCACTGACTTAGGGGAAACAGGTATTGCCAGAAAGACTGACTGTGAAGGTTTCGATATTAAAGCACAGCTCTAAGAAAGCAACACTTGATCAGATTCTTACATGTCTGTGGCATTTCCTGGAGGTTTGTATTTAAGGATACCAAGAAGGCTCAACATCCTTTTGGCTGTCTGCTCTGGCATCTCCTCTCTGATATCAACAACTTGCTAACAAAGAAATTGAAAAAATGTTATTATTGTATATCTAACAAAGTACAATATTTAAACTCACTGACAAAATTGTTCTGCTAGAGCATAACAGTCACAATGGTCTCTTCAAAAACATTAAGTATGGAGGCCCCCAGATTCCAAGTGAGGGTACATACAACTACAATCAGGATTCATATTAAGAAGGTCAAGCTTAAAAAAGTCTCAGTGGAAAAGACCAGTGTATGAGAGACATGAGCCAACTTGCAACACAATAAAACCTTTCGTAAAAGCATCTTCATTCCAGGACCAAATCTATTTATGTTTGGAAGTAGACAAATAATTTCTAAATAAGGTATAAGTAGATAATTTAGTTTTTGAGCTATTAAGAAACCTTAAAGATCATCTACTATCTACAGCTTTACAGGCATGGAAAATTAGGCCCAGAGAGGTTAAATAATTTGCCCTAGATGCACAGATATTTAATGGCAGAAACTGGCCTTCTTGCCACCCTTTTCATCACAGAGAAAAAGAAAACTCTTACCTTTGGGTCAATCTCAGCCAGAACATCACTGAGAACTTGTAATAGTTGCATTGGCTCCAGGGAATCAAATGTGATTAAGTTATAGCTCTTCCTAAAAGGCTCCTTATTGAGATTGTCCACGATGAATTTGATTTGATCACTCATAATTAGGTCTTATAATTTATACTAAAGAGTAAAAATACAGAAAAAAATTCCTCAATATTGGTAACAAAAGTTCTGTATTAACAAAAAACAGTCAACAGAAAGTCAGTATTAAGTTCATAGGAAGTAGGCATGGGAAGTATTCTACATGGCATATAAAATGCTGTGAAGGGGTTATTTTGTTGAAAGAAAAAGAGTATGCAGACTTTCTTAGGAATGCTACAGTACATACTGTTAATATTTAATGACCTGTTTTTGTATATGCATCTGATAGCAATCATCTGAATTAACACTGAATTAATGTGGACAAATGAATACAAAATCCACCGACATTAACATTTCTCCCACTCAGCTTCACAATTTCTACCTAGAGGTAAAAACTTGTTAGCCTGTAAACATACTTCTAATATATATATTTTTTTAATTAGCAGCCCACATTAATCCAAATTACCAATTTCTCTGGAAAATCAGATCTGGCAACCCTGGACTCACTAGGTACATGGCCACAACCACCTGAAGCTGGGTAGAGGCTGCAAGCTTCAGCCTTGGGGGTGCACTCTTTGGTTTTGTTTTGGGTTTCCTCCACCAGGTACTCTTCACACATTGATGCATCAACTCTGCCACCCTTGAGTAATTAAGGCCTTCATTTCCTTTGCCTTCAATAGTTCCAGTCTCTGCCTCTCCCATTCCAAATCATTTTGTAGGCGTCTCATTGCCTACAAAATAAAGTCCAAACTTCTTGGATTTTGAGACTCTTTAAGATCTAGCTCAATTTACAGTTTCTCAATATTATTTCCAATTGTTACCTTACACCCTTTCAAACTTCAGCTGACTGAAATAAGCACTGCTCCCTAAATAGCTTTTCCATCTCTGCCTTCCGTTAATGCTGTGTTTTCTGCCTAGGACTGTTCTCCCTTTCCCCCGTCTCCAGAGGTGCAAATCCTAACCATGTTTCAAGCCCTGCCCTCCAAATCCAAGTTCCTCTAGGAGATCTTTCTCAAGCTATCCCCCAGTTCTGCATCAGAATAGCAGCATTTGCCCTCCAAGCTGACCACTTTATCTGCACTGCTCTCCTGGAGTTACTTTTCCGTTCTGTACTAGTTACTTACCGACAGTTTCTCTTCTCTACTAAACTGTAAATTCCATGAGGACATATCTGTGCCTAATTCTATCTCTGAATATCCACTGCATCTAAAACAGTGACTTCTTCCACTAGACTGAATTTGTTCACAGGCCCAAGGCCAGAAAATAAGCATAAGCCTAAATAGAGTGGCAGTGAGGAAGATCATAACTTTTTAAAAAATTGATTACCTGATTATTTAACTGCTGAAACAGTTTAACCAAGGCTATTAGTGTTTCTTGCACACAGATATCACTTGTTTAGTATGAGAAAAAGTGGTAGAAATTTGCAGACAGGCAATTTCTTAGAGTAGCTATTTTTAAAAATGAATTAAAAAATGAACTACTAAAAAAAGAAATAAAGAGGGCTTCCCTGGTGGCGCAGTGGTTGAGAGTCCGCCTGCCGATGCAGGGGACACGGGTTCGTGCCCACGAACACGGTCCAGGAGGATCCCACATGCCGCGGAGCGGCTGGGCCCGTGAGCCGTGGCCGCTGGGGCTGCGCGTCTGGAGCCTGTGCTCCGCAATGCGGGAGGCCACGGCAGTGGGAGGCCCGCGTACCGCAAAAAAAAAAAAAAAAAGAGAAATAAATACTTCAGTGCTCCCTAATAGCGCCTAACCATGAAATGAAGAGATGCTATTTTATTTAAGACATTCATTGGAGCTGCATGCACCTTGCTCTGAAATAGGTTTTTTAAAGTGGGTGGGTGGAGCTAGATACCTAACATTGAAATGTAAAAATATTATCATTTCCTCATAAGTATGATAAAATTATGAGTAAATGATTATTTTTGAAAAATAAGCCAAAAGATGGTAGAAAAGATAACCAATGTGGTTTAAAATTTTGAGGTTTCCTCCATACTGTTTCCTTTAAGCTATAAAAGGAAAACTTTACATAAATGAAATAAAAATCCACACTGGAGATGCAAATTTTCCACTGTTGAAAGTATTTTAAGTATAAGTCCACGTCACAACCTTCACACACAGATATATTAATTTTTAACTCTTTAGAAATTATATACATGTAGAAATTACACATACACAAAACGTAACATATACACACAGATATATATTCTTTTTTCCCTTCCCAAAAACAGAATACTTGGACAAACAAGTAAAACGTTCCCAGGAGACAAAGATGTACTGAACAGGTAGGTTGTCTGTGCCCAGTGGGCTCTGCGCTCTAAAATTAGCAAAAGCAATCACTCTCCCTCTTCCAAAGGAAAGTCGCCACACTAATTCACAAGCACTCACCCACATAAGAACCCGAGAGGGTGGGGGAGAAGAACTGAAACCAGGACATGCGTTTATCTGGCACAACTCGGCACAGAAACGACGCTGCCCTGGTCCCAGGCTGGCACGCACGCTGGACCAGCAGCCTCCCAAGATTCCCCAAAATAGTATCTCCCCCACCCCCTCACGCCCCGGGGCTCGCGAGAGCGGACAGAGGACCCCACGTCAGACCCAGGCACCTCGCGAGGGCTGCTCTGGGCTCCCCTGCGGTTCATCCCGCGGGGGAGCCGCCCGGAACACTGCGAGGCACCACAGGGGCCGACCCCCGATGTTGGGGTTGAACTGCTGCTACCCCTCCGTTCTCGAGGTGCTGCACTGGGAAAGGAAGGAGTTCTCTCCTACTTAGGGGTTTGGGGGAGCTTCCGACCGCGGCTTGGCGAAGTTACCTCAAATTCTCCTCACGAAACCACTTCCCCCCCCCGGAGGCATCCGGGCTCTAGTGAGTTCCTAGAGACGAGCTCCTTGGCAACGGTTGCTAGGCCGTGGACACATCACTTCCGGGGGCGGGAGGGTCGGCGCGTTTCCGCGAGGCCCCGGGCGCGCGCTCTGTGGCCAAGGCCCTGGAGGCGAAAGAAGGAGGGAGGGGGGCCCACCTGCAAACTAGGTTCACAGGTTCTGAGCCACTGCGGACAGCTTAGAGAGTTGCGGGTTGTTACCGTGGCAATAAACTTTCCCCAGCGTCCTGCAGTTTGCAGTTTACGAAACACTCTCTTCGTTTTTCACCCATGTTAAATTCGTGTGCTCTTTCCTCCTTCCCTCCTTCCTGCTTTCCTTCCCTCCTTCCTTCACCAAACATCGGTGATGACATCTTTGAGGCAGGGCCAGTGGGATTTGGGTTGAGAAAGCATTTGGCCTGGGCTTCAAATTTAGATTTTTGACATAAGTATCTCCAAATTAGGTTACACGTAGGAACAATTGTAGTCTCTTCTGTGAATTGTAGATTAACAGAAGGCACATTCATCATAGAGATGTCAGCTTCTTTGTCACATTATTGGGCCACATAGCCCGTACTGGGAATTAATTTTTTTCATCCAGAGTTTCTTTAATATTCTGAGAGCCTAAAAAGAAAAGGAAATGGCCTAAGGCTCTCTTTGGCTTCTGAGAGTCTATTTTTAGGCGCCTGCAGACATGAATATAGTTCTTACATTTTCATGCGGTTCACGTTCTACGAGGTAGGCGTGGGGGGCGGAGATCTTCATGTCTAGATCACAGAGGAGGCCAGGAAGACTGGAGCCGAGAGAATCCCGGGACTGCACTAACTGGCTTCAGGGGAGAGTTTAATTGATGAATGGTATTTTGAACTGCCCCTATTAGGGTGGAAACCTCTGTACTCCTTGATGTCAGCTGGCAATGGAGAAATGAGAAGAAAAAAAAATGAAATTCCTCACACCCTGAAAACTTAGTTGCCTGCTCAAACATCTTGGAAGAAACCAACTACAGATTTAGCATCAGACTTACAAAATAAAGCAAGACAAAACAAAAAAAATTCCATATTAGGCATCTCCTGTAGGCCCTGCTCTTTGCTGGCTGCTGGGGATGCAGTGGAAGGCAGGGAATTACCTGGCCCCTGTCCTCACGGAGCTGACAGTCTATGCAAGAAGAGAGACAATTGAACAGGCAACACCAACATAACTATGACAAATGCTATAAAGAAGGACCCAATGATGGGAGAGTCCAGATGAAGGGTCACAAGTTTATTTGGAGCTGAAGGGATTGTACTGTTAGGAGAGGTTCCATCGGACAATGTGACGTTTAAGGGTCAGTAAAAATTAGCCAAACAAGAAAGGGGAGAGTTTTTTGGGCAGAGGGAACAAAACATTCCAAGATGGGTACATTGCTGGCTGCAGGGCGCTTGGAGAGAAACTAAGACAGGTCCCAGCTCACAGATGCTCAAGACTAGTTGGAGGAGGCAACACTTAAAACCTTGAAAAATTAAATAACTCTAAGAGAAACAATAAAAGGTGCAAACAGGGATTATATAATTACTTGATCCTATTGGGTGTGTTAGGAGATTCTCCTGGCTCCCTGGATTTGGGTATTGGATTGCCATTGTATGGCCTCACGTGAGATTTCTTTTCCTCATCTCTAAAATGTGGCTATAATAATACGAGGATTACATGAGTCGATATGGGTTAAGCGATTAGAACAGTGCCCGATACTGGAAGAGCTAAGGACATTTTACCTTTTTTGTCCCCTTTTTTTAAAAAAAATGAGATGGTTAGATTTGCTCCTTCTATAGTCTAAAGATGTCAGCTATACAAAGGTAAGAGTGGCTTTTCTAGTAGTTTTTAGTTCCTCCTCTGCCTGTTGCTGCTATTACAGTTATAAGAACGTGTCAATTCAAGTAAGCAATGGAATCTACTCTTTGCACTCAAACTTGATTTTGTGCTTAATGTGATTGCTCTGGAACACAGGAAAGAATTGGAAGCCAGTCTGCATGCTTCCTGGGATCCATATACTGAGAAGCTTATATTCCAATCTGGAGCAAAGAAGAGAGACACTGAGCAGCCTTGCACATGTTGGGTCCCTGCCTATCTATCAGACCCACACACAGACCAAAGGAAGACTTGTAACCACTTGTAACCACCCCTTGATTCATTTAAGATAAAAAGATTCATTGAGGTATCCAAGAAGAGCTTACCAAGCAACAATTTCACAACAGTGGAGGCATTGCTGAGTACATCCCAAGCTTAGCCACACACACGAAGGCTTTTTTTTCCTTAGATGCTTTACTGAGTCTTCCTTGTAAACCCCCAAAGCTGCCTCTTGGCTGAACTATAGTTGACACTTTTAACAGGTGAAGGGAAGCCTCAGTCATGTGAGACAGCCTCTCTGAAAGATTCCCACTCCTACCCTGACTCTTTTTTTTAATAGCTTATTAAGATATAATCCACATACATACAATCCACCCATTTAAAATATACAATTCAGTTGCTTTTAGCATCTTTACAGAGTTGTGCAACCATTACCACTATCTAATCCAAGAACATTTCATTACCCCAAAAAGAAACCCCATTCCCTTTAGCCATCATCTCCCAGTTTGCTTAATGTGATTAAGCAAACCCACCACCACTTCTCAGCCCCTGGCAACCATTAATCTGCTTTCCTTCTTTATGGACTTGCCTTTTCTGGACATTTCATATAAATGGAATCATAAAATATGTGGCTCTTTGTGTCTGGCTTCTTTCACTTAGTTGTAATATTTTCAAGGTTCATCCAAGTTGTAGCACATATCAGTACTTCATTCCACTTTATGGTAGAATAATATTTCATTGTATGGATTTTTGTTCATCCATTTATCTATTAATAGACATTTGGATTGTTTCCACCTTTGGGCTATAAAAAACAGTGCTGCTATGAACATTCATGTACATAACTCCACTGTCTCATGGATAAAGCACTTCCATTAGCTAAGTCAGGTAAGCAAGGTATGCACATCAGGGACATGGGTAAATGGAGGGGTGGCCTTTCTTGGATTTGTCTTTTCCTTTCAATTCTTGTTAATTTTGGCTTCTTGGGTGCTCATGGTTGCAGACTATGGGACCTAAGATATGGATTCTTTAGCAGTTTTTGGTTGTAAAATCAGACTGTTGTTGAAACATACTCTACCCTTGCTACCAAAGCACTAAAAGAAAATGCTGTTATTTGGTATTATCCTTTAAATGTTCACCAGCCACCAGTGGAGGAGAAGGTGGGGAGGAGTGCGGAGGAGATGAGAGAGAAACTGGAAGCTGCCCCTTCTAGCTCCCTTATTTAACCTTATAGATACTGCAAAGACCATCCACAGTTGTGAACCTCTGCTCTGGTTATTCAGAGGGGAAAAAAAAATCACTCCTGGTCAAGTGTTTTTTCAAGACTGAGTTTAGTACTAGATAAAAAAAATAAGGAGAATGGTCATTATTTCATGTAATTGTAAAGTCCAAGGAAATCACTACCTTCAGGTATGGTTTGATCCAGGAGCTCAGTGATGTCATCTTGACTTTCTTTCTCCCTCCATCTTCCTGTCTCTCGTCCCCACTTTTCTCTGAATGGGCTGTTAGGAGCAAGAGGCTTACATTCTTCAAGCATAGCATCCTCAATAAAAGTAGAATCTTTGCTTCAATAGTTCCAGCAATTTCCCAGTGCAAATTCTCATTGGTCTGAAATGTGTCAGATCATTCTTGAATCAATTGTTATGACTCTGCTGGACACAGTAATTGATTGGGTAAGGGTGGTTTCCCAAAAGAAAGGGCTGGATTTTCTTACCAGAGGTAGAGACACTGTGCAAACAAGAACAACAGATGCCCCGTTCAGGTGGTCAGGGAAGGTGGTTAAATCTCAAAAGTTGGGTAAGCAAAACCAGAAATGAGTCTGCTTATTGTGGAGAGTTTGTGTGTTAGTGCGAATCTTCTCCCTGATTTCCTTCCAACAAATTATCTTTCTTCAATGCAGACTCCCATCATGGGCCAAATGAGGTCTTGGGATAACAGCAGACCTTCCAAATCCCTGTAAAAATCTGAGGATGCCATGAACTTAATGTCTCCAGCCCCTTCTTATTTCAGAACTTTCAAACAAGAACTTTCCTGTGCAGAGTACAGGGAAGCCAAGCCAATTTTCTGTTTTTGGTATTAAATTTAGACCTTTCATCCTGACCATGAGATATTTCTGGATTCTGCATGAGTATTCAGCGAATGCCAGTGTTCAAGATGCTATCCCATCTGGGGCTACTCTGCACACTGCCCACTTTATCTCATTCTTTTAAAACTGGGAAAAATGACCCAGACATAGGAACAAATTCAGAAGTAGGTTATTCCGTTATCCATTAATTGTCATTTAATGCCTTTGCCATCTAGGTTATTTGGAGATGAAAGAAATTAAATTTAAACCAAAACCTGAATTGAGCTTTGCAGAGACCCTAAATTGTCTCTGCTCTGGCAATTTAATCTTGTGGGTATGTTTAGCAGCAGAATCTGCTTTCCTAAAATGTTAAAAGGTAAATAATATGTGAAAAGTTAAACTGCATGGATGGGATTCCAGAGGTCTTATTAAATGCGTGCCTGGTACTACATTTTGTCAAATGGTTTTTTAAAATGGATTTTGTGAGATTAATGGGTAATGTAGAGGAGCCAAAATAATATGCAATTCATATTAGTTCTTTGGTTATAATTATGGGCTGAAAAATAGAATGCACCTAACATTCTTACTGTGCTCAAATAATAATTATAGCATCACTTATTGAGCACTTACTGTATGTCAGGGACTTTGTTAAATACTTCACGTATGTGTCAGAATTTATTAAAATGTTAATTTATGTGTGTACTCCTTCTGTTTCCCCTCCTCTTGAAGCAATTTGCATTGCCTTGAGTTTTACAGGCTGAAATTAGAAACAGTACTTATGCCTTTTGTAAAGGTCTGAAGTCTTTAGAGGAGCTTATACTGGTTGTCCTCAAGGGGGGAGTGGAGAGGAAAGTTCCTATTAGAGTAAGAAGAGAGTAGAGAGATGCTAAGAAGATTGGGAAAGGATCACAGGTGGTAAGTTTGGGGCAGCTCTTGAGGAGGCCACACCATCAGTCCGGTGGCTTCCAGTGTGGCCCAAGCTTTCCTTGTCCCAGGTCTGACATGGAAGCATCAATGCCATTGGACCTAAAAGGACCAGGCAGCCTGGGATGATGGGTGGGTGACCAAGCAAGCACCACGATGGGCCATCAGCAGAAGACTGCAAGTGATTCTCTGAGGCCTTGTCACTGCAAAAGAACCCAGAGACTTGCAGCCCCCAGGAAGTGTGTGAGGGAGAGATGCTCAATAATGACAGGATGGGGGCTCAGAGTTGGATTTCAGTTGATTATAAAATAATATACTTCCTCTAGCAAATCTGAGTTGTGAACTAAAATGAGTGACCTCTGCATCAGTCAGCTTCCTGGCAGGATAAAGATGGCACATTCTGGACAACTGATGAGAGCTTAATAAAGGACTATGTATAAAGGTGTGGGCGGGGTTTAGGGAAACCAGCAAGGGTCCAGCAACAAAGGCAGCTATTGCATCCCTAAACCTGAAGCAGCCAGAGAAGGGAACAGGCACCAGAAGCCCAACACAGCAGCTGTATGGAAAAGGTTACCCAACAGGAGCCTTTAGATACAGCCAGTCTTGAACTCACTCTCCTTCCACTCTCTGATCTCCTGCCTGGCCTTCCCTTGGCTAAACCCAACAGGGAACCAAAGGAGCAGGCAACCCCTTGAAGACCATCCATGCAGACTGGCCTCCCAAGGGAGAAAATGGCAGAGTGGGGATCTGGAGGGGCAGATGGACTGAATTATAAATTGAATTATACAGTCAAAATGATGGGCAGGAAGGCCCTGTGAGGCCAC